ATAATATCAACTCTAATACTGGTTGTTGAAATAGTAGATCAATGATAATATTAAGGGATAATGAGACTCTATTCCAGTTTACAAGTCTGCTGTACTGGAAAGGGAAAATGTTTGTGGCCAGAACACCTGAGATTTGGTCCCAGTCAACATGACTTGCATAAACTACTTAACTTTTTTTGAGTCTAATTTCCTAATTACTAAAACCAAAAGGAAAATATAACAAAAATAAGCTCCAGGGCTTTTTAAAAATTAGCTACCAATTTGGAAATGTTCTGTAAACTATAATGTAATAGTATCAGACACTGCTCTGTTTAAATAGAAAATTTGATTTAGTCTGGATTTCATATAATATTTTAGGAAGCTTTTAGGACTTACAGAAAAATGTTATTAATAGGTTTAGAAATTTTATTATCTTAATGAAAGTCTGTTTTCTCATCTCCTTTGAATTTGAGTTGAGTTTTCCAGAGAAAAGATGCCTATTTTATGCTGGCTGAAAGCATGAACAAAATAAACAACAAGCTCCGTGAAGAATGCTCTATGAACCGATATCCAACTCAAACTCCTGAGTCACTGTGATACACCTGATCGCTGGATATAACCATGTATTGGTCCAGTGAGTATTCATGTTTAATAATTAAGACAATTACTGATTTCCACTGCTGTTTCCACTGCCACTTCATAAGGCATGCATTATTGGTCTTTTAATATTTTGTTCTCATTGACCACAGACTCTAAATCATTATATGTTAGTTACAGACCGTTACAATGCCTAGTGGCATTTGCCACTGGTGACAACAATAATAAATGATGTTGAGCCAAAGCTAGTAGGAATGAAATACAGAAAGTAAAATGATAATAAATAACTGTCACTCCATTACTACACAGTGCCTGGTTCTAGCACCTGTTCAATGGAGCGGAGTCTGCATAATCCAAGAACTAAAAAGGCATTTACTCTTTAGTAACAGCAACAACAAAGAAAGGAATCCATTTATTCGTCTTGTGCTGTGACCCCAAATTCCACACTGAGCATGGCATGAGTATTTAAAGAGTTCTCAACAGAATTTACTTTAACATCTTGTAGTGTCTTCTCAAAGCGAGAATGCTTGTGAAATGTACCAAAAGTTACACTCAGTCCAATGGATATGAAATTACAGCAGTTCTGGCTAGAATGTGACAATAATTTCCCAGATGGATATGAGACCGAAGATATAAATATCATTTTATTTATTATAAGGAACATGGGGCACAGATACTAGAATAAAGAATATGGAACTCAGAAATATAAGATATCTGGTAGATATTGTAAAACCTATCTAAATATAATGTTGGTTCTTGTCGGGTGATTTGGGTGAGGACCAGATTTAAGCTATCCCCTTCCTTGGCCATCTGTCTCATAAACTTACGAGAGTAGAATCTGTTGTAATAAACTCACAAGGCAGATATACTGTAAGGGGTGTTATTGGTATCAAATCATCTACAATACAAAATAAATTGCTCTTTAAAATTTACAAGAAAATTTGTGTCTTTTAAATAAAAATAATCACCTATAAAATTTGTGTACTTTAAAATAAAACATAATCATCTATAACATAAAATCATTGCTCTTTAAAATTTAAAAGAAAACGTATGTCTTCCCCTTGTCAGTGACATTCTTTGCCCTGCCCCCTTTCTCATTCCATTAATTATATATCAGGTTTATTGCTATGGTGGCAGTCTATCTGTTTATTTTTTAGTAAAAGATTTATCCTAACTTTAGATCCTAAGTAAACTGACATGTGGCAATCACAGAAGGTGTGAGTCTGAAAACAATCTTCTTACTAGACAAGTTACATAAATCTGAGCCTTAGTGATCTTAGTAGTAAAACTGGGATAATATTATCTATGTAGCAAAGTTAACGTAAAATTTAATAGTATATGTGAAGTGATTTTTTTTATTGTTTTCTTCCAAAAAGCAGAGTCTGAGATTGAAAGGTAGTTGATTTTGGAAATAGATATTAGAAAACAGAACTGGAAGCCTGGGAAGAATGAATCAGGAAAGAAAGGAGAGCCAGTCTAAAGATACAGATCAGCATGGCTACTGCTTGAAGCTACTGGGAACCCTTTCAGGTTCCATGGAAAATGCATTTTTGAATTGTCTGTCTTAGAAATGGAAGAGAGATATTGGTCAAGAGTTGTTCTATATGGGGTTGACACCATACATGAAGCTGTCTATGTATTATCATGACTGAGCAGTTATCAGGGGGATTCCACATAGTAGTTGCTAGGGAGCCCCAATGCAGGGAGTGAATAAAATCCAAATTATTTGGGATTTATGCAGAGGAGATTTATAAGAGCAGAGAACAGCCAGGTTGAATATAATGTCGCCACCAGTGGATTTTGGGGTCAGGGATCTACCTTGTGACTAAACAGATAGTGAGGTTTTCACCCAGTGGCATTCCGAATGAACAGGATTGTCAGATAGCTGTACACAGATGAACACTAATGCAAGATGAAGAGCAGTTTCAGGGTAATGTCCACAACATTAGAAGCTGTAGCTTCTATGAAAAATTCTTAAGATCCAGAACCATGCGGATCATCAAGTTTGTAACCTATAACAGGCAGTCAGTCATCTAGCTGGCCTGGCCTACATTTTGGACCAAGAACAAAAATACAAATGAAAATAATATTAAGAAGTTTACTTTCTTATCACATAATGTGAAAGTTTTTGAAACACTTCCATAGGCGTTATCTTATTTGAAGTTACAGTGATGCTGTGAGAAACTATGGCATCATTCATCTCATTTTTCAAATGAATAAATTTGGTTTCCTAACCAACTCTTCATTGTCTACAAGTGCTAAGTCAGAATAAAAACTGAGGTGTGTTTATCCTAATTCTAGCATTCTAAAAAGAGCCTTAATTTTAATAAAATTTCCTTTGGTCAATTACTTTGTAAGCCCTGACACCTACACTTTACCTCCAGTGTCATCAGCCTGAGCGAGTCACTCACTCACCTCCCTGAAAGCATGAGCAAAGAGTACCTTTAGCAAAAATGTATTTCCAATTTAATTTTCATTCATAAGATGTGATCTCTACCAATGATGCCAACCAGATTTGAGGGAAACTAAATCCAGGTGCTGTGTGACTCCAGATAGCTTTCAACACAAATTGGCTACTAGAGGACTGACAAATAACCTGAATAATCTGTAAGAAATGGAAACTCAAGAAAGTAGCATTTCCCAATATATTACCAAATACTATCTTTCTGGCTATGTAATAATGGTGTCTACTCAGAGAGTAGTTTTTCTCCACTAAAATGAAATATTCCTATTACCAAAATTTGAGATAAACAATGTTTCTGACAAAACACAGGTTTTATTTACTTGGCTAATCAATATTATTTCTAGGCAGTCTGAATTCTGAAAACGTGGAACTTTCCCAAATTTACCTTTTCCCATGCTATGTTTCATTATATTTTCCGTATTATATAGTAAATTAAAAAATACTTAGCATATTGTAAAAACAAGTATGTAAGCCCAAGATATTATTGTTAATAAAAAGACACAGTTATGCTCTAATGAGATAGCTTTTCTAACATTCATTTCACATATGTGAAAGTAGATAACAGAAACTAAATATTTTTACAGATGTTGTGGGATTTTAAAAAGGCAATCAAAAAGAAGAGTAGAAACCAAATCTGAGTCTCTGCATCTGTTTAAAATCATTCATCTTAATTTCCATTCTTAGGAAATAGAAATCCAAAGGATTATAGGTAAAATTTGGTAAAGCTTAAAGTTTGTTTCTCTTCAAAGCAGTTTCCACAAGCCACAGAGTACAATAGAATATCAAAATATGTATGGAAATATCATTATTTTTATTTAAGGAAATATGCACTACCATGTATATGTGACATGGAGTTGACCAAACAGGTCTTTGCTTGAAATGTTTCTGAGGATCTTGTATAACAATATATCTACCAAAAAACACAGTGTGCTCCAGTCTTTCAACATAAGTGTTTCAACACCAGATAGATCCATGAGAGACCAGGAAACAAAGGGAAAGATCAGGAATTTGCTTCCGTCTCCAAATTTTATGTCACTGAATTTAACTAACTTAATAATACTACTAATGATCATCATGATAATCAAACTATTGTTGCTGCTTCTACTACTATGAATAATAGTAACTAACAGCTATTGAGAAGTGACTATGAACTAAGCATTATATAAGTGCTCCGTTAGTTGACTCAGTTAATTCTCACAGTAATCCTCATATGAACGATACTATCAGTGTCTCTTCTTTATAAATGAGGGAACTGAGGTACAGAGAAGCTAACTGCCTTTCCCAAGTAACACAGCAGAAAGAGACAGCAGATTCAGATACACTTCTGGGAAGCCTTAGAGACCGTGTGTACTACATGGGTTTCTGACCCAAGCTTTGTAGTCTGGTTCTAATAGTCACAAGCTGTAAGTGGCTAGGATGCCAAAATTTTACAGACAGCCAGGCACTGAGTGGGACTAAAGTGAAGTACAGTATCTCAGAGTAATTCAGAAATTAGAATTAACATATTTGGAGTTGTGTGTTGGTGGTGTGTGTGTGTGTTTTTGGGAGCAGGCACAGGAAAAGCTATTGCAGGGAAAGAAAAGTAGATTATTGACTCAGATGAGTTTTCTTTTCCACTAGAATTTCAGAGTATATTTACCACTGCTTCGTTTCTTTTTTCTACTCTAAGCAAACATGTACATATTTCACTTTTATATTCCCATGACTCCTATAAAGCTAAAAAGCAGTATGGAGCGATTCACTACATGACCTGAAATGGTCTTACTGTGAGCTCTCAAGATAGAGGAAAATAATACCCCTCATGTGGTTTCCCTTAATGCTAAGGCTTTTCTCTATGTGCTTCACAGGTCTAGCTCCAGATCCATGAGTTGCACATGTTAGAGGCTGCCTAGACTGGCAAAGGGAGGGCACAGCCATCAATAACACAGGACATGGTTCTCCCACCAGGGAAGTGACATACCCTGTCAGTTTTCCCTTCTGTCTGAATACTGGTGTGACTGCGAACCTCATGATCCTCTTCAAGGTCAGAAACATCCTCCAGTTCCTCTGGGGTCTGTAAAAAGAAAGCAAAACATTGCCAGTGGGAATGTAAAAGCATTTCTTCTTTGGAAAACATGTCAGTACCTTAAAAGGATAATCAGAGAGTTACCATATGACACAGCAATTTCACTCCCAGTTATATATCCAAGAGAAACAAAGGCATATGTCCACACAAATACGTATCCACAAATGTTCACAGGAGCATCAGTCATGATAGCTAAAAAATGGAAACCAAATGTATACCTACTGATGAATGGATAAACAAAATATGGTACATCTGTACAATGGAATATAATTTGGCTATGAAAAGGAGCAAAATACTGATACACACCACAACACAGGTGAACACTGAAAACATCATCCTAAGTGAAGGGAGCCAGCCACAAAAGGCCACATATTGTATGATCCCATTTATATGAAATGTCTACAATAGGCAAATCTATAGACAGAGATTTAATTAGTGGTTGCTAGGTGCTAGGGGAAAGGGAAAATGGACAATGACAGCTGATGGGCATGTGGTTTCTCTTCTGGATGATAAGAATGTTCTACAGTTAGATAGTAGTAATGATCATAAACCCTCTGAATATACTAAAAAAACACTGAGTTTTATACTTTAAAGTGGAGAGTTTTATGGTATATGAATTATATCCCAATAAATTGTGAGAGAAAAAGAAAGCAAAAAAATGATCACAAGGAAAATTTTATTTCAGTGTATAGCAATTTGGCTACCCACTATGTGGTTACTGCAAACTACGATGCTTACAGTTGATAAATACATTAGATAATTGTCATTAAAATCATATATCATCAAAATGCCACCAGAAATTATCAAGGAATTAAATTTTTAGGGACTTGATAAATAATTTAACTTGAAATTCAGTGTCTATTAGGAATAGTTAGCTAATTTCCATTTCTTCTTTCAATGTCAGCTGAAATGCCTCTTTCTCAGGGAGGTGTCTTGCTCAGGAATCCTCCAGGCTGGGCTGGATTCCCTGCCAAGTGCTTCCTAAGCCCTCTACTTTAATAGCCATCATGCTTATCATCCTTTATTACATCATTGCTGTATTGGCAACTAATTGTTGAACTGTGTATTCTGTGAGGCAAGGACATGTCTCCCTTGTCATTTCTGCAAATATAGGTCGAAGTACTTAAGAAGGATTACCTTAGTATTTGTTTGAGTGTACAAGGTCTCAACTTAATTTTTTTATTTCAATAGCCTTGGGGATACAAGTGGGTTTTGGTAACACAGATGAATTGCATAGACATGAAGTCTGAGATTTTAGTGGGCCCTTCATCCAAGTAGTGTATATTGTACCCAATATGTAGTGTTTTTATTCCTAATCTCCCTCCTACCCTCCCTGTTTCTGAGTCTCCCATATCCATTATTCTACTCTGTATGGTTCCTTTGCTACAAAATCCTGGTGACAAATCCAGAAAGCGAGCATTTAGGTTTCACAGAAAACAACCAAAATGAAGTAGAAGATGTCCTTGGGTCTGTATCTTTCATGCACATGTGGCTGTTGAAGACTGGAAGGGGGCAGGGCCTGTCTCCTTAGACTAGCTCTGGTTTGCCTTAAATCTTGCTTTACACACAGACACTTTGTTTATTTTCAGCGTTGCCAAGAGCCTTTCATCCCTTGGGAGCACTCCAGAGATGAGAACATTTGATGATTAGTTCATATGATAGAGCAAAATTACCAATTTCCTATTCATTAACGGCTTCAGATTCTTTCTCAACTCGTAGATCTTTAACCAGCACTTTCTTTGTTTCACACACTTGCACTGAGCAATACCCACCCCTTTCCAGAGAAACATTATGCATTTATTTCAACCACCTTCTCTCAGATATTAACATTTCCACCTCACCAAAGCCTTCAATGTGCTATTTGTTATCGATATGTTGATCTCTTTGAATTCCTTCTTTGCTGCAACTACATGTAGCTGTTATCTTAGGACAATTCTTTCTTCTTCAGTATTAATAGCACGAGTTCATCACTGTAATTTCTATACAATCACATATTTCATTATTAGTCACTTTGTGTATTCTTTTCACAGTATTCTCGAGAAAACATCTTTGCAATTTCCTTCCTTGATATATCATGAGGCCCTGTGACATCTGAAAAAAATCAGTTATTCAAATTCTCTTTCTTATGCCCTGTTGTTTTGCAACTGAAGGCTGCCTGGTGTCCCTGCTGTGATGTTTCTTATAAATGTCTGTTGTTTATTACTTGGGTTATATCCTATCATGCAACAACACACAACTTCATCATCCACTCTAAGAGTTTATTTGACCTCAAAATAGAGTAACAAACTAAGAACAGTTGCTGCTATCAGAAGTCACAAGTGCCATTTTTGTTGGTGACGCTGTAGGAAGAGATAAGCCTACCATTTACGCCCACATGCTTCTGTGCTTTTCTTTGTGTTTAACATGGGACTGATAGTTTTCTTGCAAAGCTGCAAAAACTGACCTCTTCTTTTCATGAACAAAATCAGTGGGGCAGTGTTCAAAACACTTGCGGGCAGCAAGTGTTTGGCCTTATATTCGGTAAGGCAAGGTGTTGGATGGTATTGTGAAAATAAATAGTTAAACACATAATGCTACAGTTTAAGTGGAAACTAAGAAAAAGATAGGAGTACTCTAATTATTTTGAAGGCAACACATTAACTCCTTTAGCACTAAAGACAAATAGTAGAAACAGCAAATATTAAGAAATGGGGAGAAGAGGGATGACAGGCTACCCTACATCATACATTCTTAAATAGTCTGCTTCTACCTGACTGGTAAACATCTGGAAGGGGTGTGTGTGTGTGTGCGTGTGTGTGTTTAATCAATTTTCGTTCTGTGAGAGGAAGGATTAACTATCTTAGAGGCATTATAAGGCCTTAGGAAGGCCCTATAATGTTGAGTAATACAGACCTGAATTTGAGTTCTGGTCCTCTAATGAGTGATTATGGGACCTTGGGCAATATGTGTACTCTTTTAAAGTTTGGTTCCCTCAGAATAAAATTTGGGTAATACCTAATGCCAAAGGTTGTTGTGAGGCTCAATTGTACTAAGATGCTTTGAGTAAAAGCTTAGTCCACAAACATAGCGGCGTTGCAGCAAAAGTTTATTTCTGTTTGTTACATTTCCTCCTTTCTCCTCTATCCTATATCTCATCCCAATATATCCCTTTATATTTTTTGTTAGACGTTTATGTAAATTTATCCAAATTTTAATCATCTTTATTCCAAATTTAATGATTTTAATCCATTTTAATTTAAATTTATTTTTGAACTTGGAGTATGGATAAGCTACCAAATGTTTCTGTACTTTAGATTCTATACAGACATTATTTTTGGATTGACATGGTATTTTTACTAGCTGTCTCTAGTTACAGTCACCTGAGTTTGACTATATAATGTCACTGTGCTTAACAGGGTTTAATATAATTCCCCATGCACTGCTTCCTTCTAAAATCCATGTAAGAGATCTCTTTTAATTGGATTTTAATCATGTCCAAGCATGAAATTATCTCTCAAGCTGGCCTCAGCCATGATTCACTCTAGCATGGATTCTCAGGGATGATGGAAATAATTTGTCATCTTTCAGCTGGGCTGTCCTAAACCAGACCGAGATGAAGATAGTTCATTTTTTCAGAAAAAGTGTTAACCAATGCAGACATTAATGTTACTTCTCATATAAGAATTGTGGAGATATATTTCATATTTTCCTATTTTACCTCTGGCTTATTAAGGAGCCTTCCATAGGCAGCCCAGAAGCAATTTGGAATAGACTTAGTTTCTTCACCTGTAAAACAGCACAAATACTACCTAATATTTAGGGCTATTGTAAAGATAAAACAAGATGACGGACTAGAACACTATTATTCTTCAGTGGCTACAAAATACTGAATTATTAATATTATTTATGATTATTATAGATTACCATTACTGTTGTTATCTCACTTGATTCATGCAAAAGAGGTCAAAACAAGTATAGAAGTTTTTGAAGTTGAAAACATTCAGGCTGAGGTGTTTACATAGAAGCCAGGGCGGCAATGACAGAGGAGTAATACATTAAGACTTCAGGGTTATAATAAATTTCATATATATGTGTATGTGTGTGTGTATATACATATATCCTTTCTCCCATAAGGCATTCAATGTTTTTTATAGACATTATCTCATTAATTCTCTCAGCATTACTAATAAAACAGGTGGCAATATTACAACAAAAAATTCACTTGCGCAGACTTTCTAAACATTTCATATTAAAATACAAATATGAAATTTGTGGTTGCTAAATATCAAAGAAGAATGTAAAAAAAAACAGGAAGAAAACAAAAAGAATTACAAATACTCTGAAAAACAGGAGTCATGCTTGACTTCTTCTCAGAATCATATTTGAATTCCAAATCATACACATGATGTGTTATAAATATAATTCTCTGGCTAGATTTCACTGACTTATTAAAATCAAATAATCACCATAGTAATGCTATGAGTGGTCTCTCACACAGAGCAACTCTTTGGAAACAGGCTATGAATGTCCATCACAAGCTGTAGGCTAACGTAACATGTTCAGTGATTTTATTTTATCTGAGGTGGTAACATAAGACGATTTTGCTATGTCAAAATGGAGAGTTCAGAATTAAAATACATTTAAAAATAAAAACAAATCTATCAATGACACAATGTCAAGTTAGAGAAATTAAAGACATGTCCCTTATTGAACACACACACACTCACAAACACACCCTAAAATTCCTGTCCCACATCTTTGACCATGAAACTGGCACTCTATGTTCTAAATGTTCGAGAAACCAGTGGCATTTCTATTACACCGACCCCTTTTGTACTCCTCAATCATGTTCCACTTGTCAGCACTTTCCACTTAATGCTCTGTGTCTTTCTATTTGCCCCTTTCTTGCAAACTGGATCCTTCTCGGAATGGGAGCTCAGATGCTCTCTACTCAGAGAAGTCTCCCCTGGCCAGTCTAACTAAAGTTAATGCTTCTCCCCATTTCACCT